CGGCATTTATACACATAAAAGAGGTTGTGGCACATTAAATGTTAAGTGCCAGATAGGGGCATAGGGTGGTGTCACGTGTTTCATTGAAGAATCGAATGAGAAATATTGGGCGGTCTTATCAGCTTTGCCAGACAGTAAAGGTGATCGTCCATCTTCATTAATTCATTAAGAAGCTTTCATGGGTGATTGGTGGGTTGATCAAGTGATCGACAACCCCAATCTCGTATGTTTGGGCTGTTCGTGAGATGGATCTTACGTCTTGGGCTCGGTACTTCGTCCTTTGGGCTGTAATTTGCACCTGGGCCATGCTTTCTCTTCGTAACCCGGTGATCAGATATTTTGAGGCTAAAACATAGAGGCCTCTAGGTTTATAGGTGGGGAGAGATTGTTGAACGCTTGGAAAGCTGTATTCCAAAATTTTGTCGATATGCCTTGAAAATGTATTGTTGATCACATGATGGTTATGCTGAATGGATACAGAACGTCTTTTCGAAGCATTAAATAAAGGGATGTATCTTGTCGGAATTAAGGCATGTCAGTTCGGGTGCAGACATGTCTCTTGGAATTCGAGCCTTAAAGCGACAGAATGCGATGATTGGAGGAGAACGTTTCATACAAATATGAGGTACATCGCCGCCTTTTCATAATCAATTAATGATTTTGAATTTTTGAAAAAGTTATGGCACAAACTTTCTTTTCATTATTTTTTTTTGTTTGTCAAATATGTCTTCATCGTCGACCGATCGGGAGATGGAAGGAGCAAAGGTCAAGTTAAGACACCGGTTGGTTACTGGCGTCGGCTGTCGATGCAAAGAACATCAAATATGGAGATTTGTAATCAGGCCAGCACCGTGAGGGACTCCGATTTACTGATACTGCGCAGAAAGTACGAGATTCTAGGGACCGTCAAGATGTTTGCCCCGTACGAAGGTGAACGAGTTCATTCCCCTCTGGAAGAGAGCATAGGGGTGCGTAAGGAATCGATCTTGTCGGGGCTAATTTTTCTCTTATGCCTGGATTGAAATAGAATTTGTGAGCTCCTTGAGTAGGATTACTAGCTGGGTGGGTGCTCCTCTCCCCATGTTATCATTGAATATTTGAGTGAATGGAGGATCGACGTTACTCAGGTCCACCCAAATGTCATATACTGCTTATGTTCCTTGGTGGTGACGTTCGTTCAGCGAGGATGGCCGATCCAGACAGTGATGGATCTTGATTCCATCTATGTGTGGAGGACAACAAAAGAAGGATCACGGTATTTCTACCTTCATCCACGCGAGGGTAAGTATGCTAACTCGGTGAAGGACATACCTGAGTCACGGCATGGTTGGATGTATTGTAGCAAATTATGTTATTTACCGATCTCGTGCAGAAAGCCTGATGGTCGGGTCTCACACGGACAACCTTTGAAGGTTGGGCCTCTAGTTGGCAGCATGGAATACCCAGGTCGCACGTGGACAACTGGAAGATGAAAGCTTCTCTTGTGGGCAGTTTAATGTTTAAGATGGTCAGGTCGCACGAGGACAACTTTGTGAAGGCCGGGCCTCTGGTGGGCCGCCTGAGAGTGTGGTGGCCAGGTCACACACGGACAACCTGAGAGTATGACGCCAAGGTCTCGCGCGGACAACCTTGAATTTGTGAGAGCCAAGTCTCACGCAAATAACCTGAGGATACGATTGCAAGGTCTCCACGAAGACAGCCTGAGTATGTGATGGTCAGGTCTCACGCGGACAACCTTGAGTTTGTAGAGGTCAGGCCTAACGTAGGTAGCCTGAGTTGGGGCTTACGCGGGCATCCTTAGTTTGTGATGGTCTGGTCATCCTATGATAAGGGGATCGAATGTGTCTATGAGATCCATTTTGTTGAATTGCTGGGATGACTCTTCATGGGCGCAATGATTGCCGTGAATTCTTCGGGATAGATCGAGGGATAAGATCTCTGAGAACAAGGATCACCGAGAGTGACACCACATGAACTGCATCTGGCGGATAGGTCGCTAGAGATCACCTCGAATTCAAACCAATCATATAGAGATCACTATGCGGCGGTATGTCAAAAGGTTGTCGTGTTAGTGTTATATACTGAAAGCTTGGCTTTGCATGTTATTACACATTTACCCTTTATGAATGAGAATCATGTTAGATTAAACAAGTTCTACGTTCTGTTGTTCTGCACTTAGATAGGGTGGGTCGTCATCGGGCGAACCGAAGATCACTCTGTCAGTCACTTGCGAACAAGAATAGTTGTTCACAACCTAGATGGACATGAACACCCCATCCGAACGGTTGTAGTGTCAACTGTACAGTTTGTCTTGACTGATTAGTTGCACT